AAAAAAGAAATGTTTTATTTGCAAATAAGATGCTTTAGAGTAAATAATTTAATTGCTGCTTATAAATGCATTATATTAATATCTAATAAAATATGTATATAAAGAAAAGACAGATTGTTTCACTAAAAGATTATTTATGAAAATAAAACACATCATTTATGAATTTTGTCAAAAACCTATGGATAATAAATTCAAACAAGAGGCTTATGGGCCACATCGCTCACCTGAGCACACTGGCTAGGAAGAAGCAGAAATCAGTTCAGTATTTTGAAATGTTTTAAGGGGAGGCAAACTTAAATTTACACTACCTCAGGATGCTTTTATGTCAATATTATTAATCATGGTTCTGCTGATTTTAAACAGAAAAATTTTAAAGATTTGTATTCCTATATGTATTCCTATGTAAATTATGATTGCTCATTATGGCCCCACAAATTTGAATCTACACTACCTGAGGATGCATCTATAATAATATGACTAATAATGGCTTTGCTGTTCTTGAGCAGAAGATTTTTTCAAGATGATTCCTATATATTCTTACAAAATTTTGATCCTCTGTTGTGCCCTCAGCCCCTCCTGGGGGGGGGGGGGGGTCCTAATTTGAACAAACTTGATCTTTCAATAACTAAGGTTGCTTCTGTATAAATATGACTATAATAATAGGTTAGTTGTTCTTGAGAAGAAGATTTCAAAGATATATTTTCTGCATAAAGTGTGTGATCAGTTTGTTATAAGGGATATATAGGTTTTCCTTTTACTCTGTCTGAGTTAGTGATTGGAATGACTATAAAGACAGCTCTGTCTGAGGGTATATCATAGATAAGAACCAGTTGTCTCAATCCCCAGATTTACTACACCCAGAACTTAAAATAAATTCCCTAGGATACTTGCGTGTTTATAACTTTTATTTTGCTCTTACCTTTAAGGTTTTCTATCCTCTATCCTTAAATGTCCATCACATACATAATACTCTGATATTAATTTAAAACATTTTACAGTAGAAAAGGATTTACCAAGAGAATGTTTCAAAAAATTAATTAACTAAGCAGCAAGTACTTAACAAAGATTGCATTGAAGTCTATGGAGTCTTTTTTTTAAAGGAAAATTCAAACAATAAGAATATCAATAAATACTGTGGTGGGAAAATTTACTAAAACACATTAGAAATAGAATGACAATTGAAAACGATTTTATTTTACCAGATAAGTTTTTTTTTTAAAAAAAATTGAATTTTTTTAATTTATTAAAAACAGAGGGAGATAACTCAAACCAAACTTCAAGCTCATGAATAAGGATACATCCCTCCCTTACAAACAGTAGTAATAAATGAGAATTATGTTTAAATAAACATCTGTTTTGTATTCAATTTCATTGAATCTTTTGCTATAAGGATGGAATACCTTAACTTCTTTCTTGCTCATTCGACTTCTACAGCTATCTTCTGAATGCCCGACTTCCCCAAAGCTTTTGCCTTATATATACCCTAAGGCTAGTCCATTCCAAGGGTTGTCGGGTCATTCTAATATTTGAAGTCTTCAATGCGTTTTACTCAAATGCCCTTTAACCATTACACCTTTATAAATCCTATTTAAAACTTGACCCACTGTTTTGGCCCCGCCCTACCCCCAGGGATCATGATTTTAACAAACTCTTGAATCTACACTACCTTAGGATACTTCTGTATTAATATGTCTAATAATGGCTTAGCTGTTCTTGAGAAGAAGATTTTTAAAGATATTTCCTATATATTCCTATGGTAATCTTTAACCCCCTATTGTGGCCCTGTCCTACCCCCAGGGGTCATGATTGGAACAAACATGAATCTACACTACCTGAGGATACTTCTTTTATTATATGACTAATTATACCTTTAAAGACATTTCCTATATATTCCTATGTAAAACTTTGAGCCCATGTTGTGTCCCCGCCTTACCCCCGGGGGTTTTACTATGAACAAATTTGAATCAAGAGTATGTAATGAAGCTTTCACTTAAGTTTCGTCTTCTCTTGCCCAGTGGTTTTGAGAAGATTTTTAAAAGAGGCTACCAAATTTTCACGAATTCTTAATTATCTCCCCTTCACAGAGGGCGAGGCACTTGCTGTGAATAAACTTAAATCCCTTCACCCAAGGATGCTTTTGGCAAGTTTTGTTGAAATTGGCCCAGTGGTTCTTGAAAAGAAGTCGAAAATGTGAAAAGTTTACAGACGACAGAATAACAACAAATAATTTGATTTATTTTCATAAATATATTAACATGCCTTATAGATCCAGCCTTTCTCTACATATTTTATTAGACATTCATATTATGCATTTATTAACAGCAAATTTTAAACTATAAAGCATCTTATTTGCAATTTTTTTTTCATTTTCTCTGGAAAAAATGCAAAAAAATGGAATAAAATAATTAAGAGCTAATATCGGTCTTTCAATGCTGAAACTACAGTTTAAAGGGGATGTCTTAAATATCTATTATATAAAATTCTGGTGGGGCAAATATTCCTCCTTAATTATGTTTATTGCCAATAAAAAAAGTAAAGGAAACCGAGTTGGAAAAAACAGGTAACTAACTTGTTTATATCATGTTCCTGAATGCCATTAATGGCTACATGTACATGATTGTTTGATTCTAGCATGCTTGGGGATATAGCCGCGCAGATGGGTCTACAGAAAGCGACGTTTCTGCAGAAGATAGTTGATCCGTGGGTAGACATGCACATCCGTATGGACTGGAAATACGCCTGCACGCGTACGTATCGTGCAACAATGTTTATTCTTGTTATAAGTTATTATCACTCATCTGATTAGTACTTGATAAAACTGTGATATCTAATTTTAGGTGGAGTGTCGGGCACACCGCTGTACGCCATCAATAACGTCGTGAAACTCATTGACAAAGCTTGGTCCTTACATGATTGGATGAAAATCATAGATCCGCTCGTTCATAACTCTGTATGTATCATCATTGATCCGTTCTTTTGAATGTATCACTATTGATCCACTCCTTTATAATTCTGTAAATTCTGTGTGTATTATCATCTTTATCCGCTACTTTGTAACTCTGAATGTTTCATCATTGCTAAGCTCCTTTGTATTTCTGTATGCATCTGTATTCAAGATCCACTCCTTTATAACTGTATACGTATCTTCATTGATCCGCTCCTCCAAAACTCTGTATGCATTATCTGGCTGTGTTTATACGAATTTGATTTTTTTTTTTAAATTAAAAAAAACTTTAAATGGAAAATTATTTTCAAGCTCGCCAATAGTTGTCAATCTTTAGAAATCTTCTTAAAAGTGTGTTCATTTGTCTTGTGTGTGTAAATTGATTTACTTGAATTATAGGGTATATCTTTTGATTATCTTTTCAGTATATTTTCCATGTTCCGGCGTGAAAAAAATCCTCTAAAGTGGTTCCACAAAAAATGAACAAAGGACTCAGACATGTGATGTGGAATTCTTTATTCCATTGATTAATAAAAACAGCATAAATGTTAAAAACGTGTTGTTGCTTTAACATATTGATATATACATGTGTATTATCTCTTTCAAGGTGAAAATGAAAAATTCGTCACAAATTCTCCTCCCATATGAGAAACTGTGCTGAAGAAAACAACGGAAGTATAATATATTGTGACACTGATTAAAATTGTCAAAGTCTCTTAATATTGTCTTACAACGCTAAGCTATGACGTTCATATGCGCAGCATAAACCACTGTGTATGTAAGCAGTCGCATTTGAAAATTGATGTAAGATATATCAAAACCAAAAAAGAGAGAAATACCATTCCTATGTTAAATTTCAAATATGATATCCAACTTAAAATTAACTAAGCATAGAATATCTCTAAACAAATATTTTAGAAAGGTTGTTTTGCTCTTTGTTAACTAAAGGGTATAATAGTTTTCCCCACTGTCTGTCTGTCTGTTTCTACAGGCCCGTAGCAACGGTTTTAAAAGGGGACAACTTCCCAAAAAATCTGACAAGCGAAAAAAAAAACTAAATTGACCAAAAAATGAGGGTGCCAACTTCCCAAAATAATCTGACAAGCAATAAAACAAAAAAATAAAAACAACCAAACAAAAACAACCAAAAAAAGAAAATTTGTCAGTGCTCGACCTTACTGCAATTTAGCAAAAAGTAGGGAGGAGGGACCAACCAGCATATAAAAGAAAATTTACTATAGCAAAATATTACACTCAGAAAAAGTTGGGGGCGTTCTACGGGCCTGCACTCAGTCCCACAGTCACTCTGTCCCAATACGTTCTCCGGACTTTAAAACTTGCAATTTCACTATATTGAGGTGAATTATGGTATATGCGCGAGTCTATCTTGATTTAGATTTCAAGAGTACGTAGATGGAAAACTCTCTCTCTCTCTCGTTAACTTTCTTCAGGAAAACTTTGACCACCACAAATAATTTTCTGGCGGTCGCCATTAATTTATGTGGCGGCCGCCAGATAATTATCTGGCGGCAACCAGATATGATATCTTACCGGCTTCCGTATAATTCTCAATTAATCTTACCAGAATTATTCCTCCTGTATGATATCTGCTGAACAACATGAATAAATATTAAAAGTATTTTTAAATTCACAAAGATGAAATATTCATTTGCTATTTACAGATGATATTTCTTACGTCTTTAGAATTTCAAAAAAATATATAATCAAATTTTATGCATACTTGTTCATATATAAATATAAATATTTAGTCGGTTAGTTTTATGATCTTAAGAAAGATTTATACCAAAATAACAATTCTCTGTTGTAAGGTATACTTTTTATTATTAATTAATTTTCATTTTGCTTTGATTTGCTCGTTTTTTTCCCCTTTTGGATCCCGCTTTACCTGATATTAGACTTAACATTTGCATCCCGAACCCGTTCAAATTTCTTCTGAAAACATGGCTGAAATCAGAGGAGATGTAAACAAAACGGTAATCGTAAATTCTTGATAGTTTGCGAGTGTTCCTTAGGAAAATTTTAGTATTCACAAAAAATGAATGAATATAGGAACATTCTGACGGGAGATGCGGCCGTTGCATGGAGGAGTCTGATCTCACGATTGAGATTTGATTGGACGACGGACAACAAGATTTTCGAGCACCTGTTGGAGGTCCATGAATGGTTCTGCGGAGACAAATGTCCCCTTTTGAGGTACTTTTTTAATAGACCAAATTAAAGGCTTTTATTGCAATAAAGCTACATTTGAAATGCGGTTTATATACTTTCACTGAAAATGCAATGGAGAGAGGAATGGAAAGCAAAAATGAAAATTTTCCCCTACTTTCTGTTCAAGATAAAATTACGAGTCCATCCTTTAACATAGGCTATCTTTTCAGAATAAATATCAACTTGACCCTACAGTTACAATTCAGTAGCTGAAAACTATTTTGTTTTTGAATTAGTTACTAAACATAATATAAACCAGACATGAATACAGTATCATGTATACTGGTATAAATGACATTATTTCAATCTAATTAAAATTAGACGTTCCGAGTCCGCTACCGCTTCTCAAACATCTAACAACATCCCATTCGGGGTCACGTCAGAGCGACCTTTCGATTACCCAATGAAATCGCCGTCTCTGAAATCTTGGCTTATAGTTCGGATGCGTTTCTTTTTTTACTGCCAAACCTAAACTCCCGAGGGGTTTCGTAGTAAACAAAATATGCATGGTAAAGACCGTGCTAAATATGAATGTGACGTGCGGGATATATAAACGTATACATGTAGTTTGTGCATTTTCGTTTGCATTATTTAGGTAAGATTGGTGAACTATACGTTCAATTTATACCAAAATTACTTTAATTCAAAGTAAGACAGTCTAATGAGCATCAATAATGTTAAGATGTAGCCGTGGAACTAATTTTAGAATCGTATACAGAAGGTTGAATCTGATTGGCTAAAATTTTTATGTTTATTCATAATCGAAAGGTCGCTCTGACCTGACCCCTAATGGGATGTTGTTAGATGTTTGAGAAGCGGTAGCGGATTCGGAACATCTAATTTTAATTAGATTGGACATTATTTATGTCTCTGGTGTGTGGTACATATATTGTGCATTAGTCAGTCAGGATTGAAAGCCAGTGGCCAGATAAATAGATACAAATTTTTTTAGTGACCAGGTACTGGGTGATACCTGGTTAGTAAATTTCACACCTGGCTTGGAGTAGGCAGGCCAGGTATGAAATTTACTAAACAGATATTGTTCCATACCCTGTCATACCAAACTACATATTGACATCATTTTCACACTGTGACATCACAAACACGGAGCAAAACATTATATAACATCTGATATTTATAGAACATGTGTATGACTATATGTGTGCCAAATTTCATTCTGATCTAAATTGTGGTTTTGTAAATATAGAGATAGTTCGCTAACTTTTTGATCACCCCTCGTATGTGCTTGATACTGATGACAATAAACTTTATAAATGTTACAGACACTAGGCACTCATGGTTATTGACAATTTAAAGCGTGAAAGAATTGGAGTTGTTCTAAGTGTTACAAAAGAATGACAAGTCTGTATTGAGCATGTATTGAATTTTAAGTGACAATATATATAAATATTACATTCCCTTCACATGAGACTTCAACCAACTGTAAGGCAGCATTTCATCAAAAAATCATCAAATTATAAACGTGATAAATGAAAGAAGAAAAAAAAATATTTTGAGCAGGGCTGATTTTTGTGGGTCTTGCAATCCAACAATATATTGATATATACCTTACAGTTGCATGCAGAAACAATACAATTGTGATCTTGATTTTTTTTACTGCAGGTCAGATGTCGATGACAGAGGTGATCCAGGTAAGAAAACTTTTTTCACCCTTCTAAAATTTTAATGGTGACTGAATAATGTAGTGAAATTAAACTTGTCTAATTTGGACACCACTGGTTCCATAGAAATTGACCAGAATAGACAATATTCTAGATTAAGGTCATACAAGTGTACATTACCTGTTGGTAATTTTTTAAGGTTTTCATTATTTAAAATGAAGATACCCTCAGATGTTCTTAGATAAAAAATCAGAATATATAACCAGGGGTTTTGAAAAGATAACATATGATGATAATTTGGTGTTTTTCAATGCAAAATATACAAAAATACACAAACATACTTTTTTGCTAGCATTTCTTCAACTTTTATCTTTAGAAACAAAGTTCAGCAATAGATAATAAAACATTTAAGTTTTCAACATGTAAAACCAACCTTTTTTTATTAATTAATTAATTTTTGTGGAAAATCCAATTTGCATATTTGATTTAGATGTTTATACCTTACTAGTTAATTACCCCTCTTTAAAGAACACCCATACATACAACAGAAAGCATTGCAAGGTGTTGTACATTGATATTTTCTTATTCATGGAATAATTCTGAAGTGAGTGTGACTAAATAATCATTGAATTTTCTGTCCCTCTTGTTTTTTTTTTTAATAACAAAGATCTTATCTAATTTTCCTTGTCTCCCTAGTAACCTAAGAAAATATGCCAATTGAAGTCCTGTTTCTGCAATTTTGTTCACTGTAAACTTTGATAAAATCTTATTATCAACAAGCATTCTGAGAGTATTGCATTAGCAATACTAGTCCCCTACCAGCAAGTGTAATCTGGTTCCCATTAAAAATTGAAAATGCCATAATTCCATCAAAAATCAATGAAGCGAAACGAAATGCAAACTTGATCTATAACTAATCAAGGTTAAGTCACATACCAAAAATCTGCTTAATATATGCAAGCGTTTAAAAGGAGATTGTGGAAAATCCTTAAAAATTGAAAAGGCTGTAATTCTGTCAAAAATCAATGAAGCAGAACGAAATGCAAACTTTATCTGTAACTCATCAGGATACACTTACATACCAAAAAATCAGCTCAATATCTGCAAGCGTTTAGGAAAAAAGTGCGGAAAACCATTAGTGGGACAGACTGACAGAGAGACAGCAAGACAGACGGATGGACAGACGGATGGACGGACGGACGGATAGACTCAGAGGAAACCTATAGTCCCCTCCGGTTTCTCATCTTTAGTTTTCATCATCTAAAAAATCAAATTATCAACAAATTTTGTAGAAAAAATATGCTTCAACATAAAATGGCTAAAAATTGATAAAGATGATCAATGTTTGTGAGGTCAAAGCATCAGACTTAGCATCCTAAACAGTCAAACACAGGTCCTTCAGCAAGGTCACTTGTTTATTTGTGCAAAATGAATGATTTGTTTTCAATTCTTGTGGCCTAGGAAAAGTTTTCTAAAAAGAGGTAATGTGTCTAGAAACCAACTTGCAATGTTCTGAGACACTAAAAATTAAAATACCTATGTAACCAAATGCAGGCACTAAACACTAGAGTCAAACTTGGCATTATGAGAAACCTTTATTATGACTTTTCTCCATTACAAACAAAGTTACTTATTCTAAAACTATCTTTATATATGTAAGAGCTTTTCATGGGGTTGCAATTTAAAGTAAACATCAAATCCAATTCAAGAAAAAAATTATGGAATTATTATCATTGGAAATCTTTATTAGGAGATAGAGAAAATAAAGTAAACACTACATTGTGTCTGTCCTTGAAAAAATTCTATCAATTGAATTTACTGAAAGGGACTTAAAGTTTACATTGTATTGGGCAGGATTTCAGAAAACATGACATTAATATTAGACGGGTTTTACTGTAGTCACCATTCACGGTAGCTCAGTCGGTAGAGCGCTCGCTCCATGATCGGGAGGTCGTGAGTTCGAATCACCGTTCACGGTAGCTCAGTCGGTAGAGCGCTCGCTCCGTGATCGGGAGGTCGTGAGTTCGAATCTCGGCCGCGACAGACCTAAGTCGATAAAAAATAGGTAGCAACTGTTTCTTCGCCATGCGCTCGGCACTTGAAGTGAAAGTTGCGGGTCCTTCGGATGAGACCTTAAAAACCGAGGCCCCGTGTCACGGCAGGCGTTGGCACGATAAAGATCCCTCACTGCTCAATGGCCCTGAGTGCCGAGTAAAGGTCAAAATTTGAAGCCCTTCACCGGTATATGGTGACGTCTCTATATGAGTGAAAAATTCTCGAATGGGACGTAAAACAACATACAATCAACTGTAGCAAAGTTGTTTTCATTAATAAGGTTCATTTTTTTTTGCAAAGTTTGAGAAACTGTCATTCTGAATGAAATCGGAAAACTCCACACCAGAAAAAAACTCTACAAATAATACAAGATACGATTTAGAGTTCATTTAAAATATTTATGTTGAAGTTTTATTTTATTTTAGATTTTCCCATGTCAAAAGAAGATGAGGAGACAGCCATGTCATTAGATTTAGAAGGTGTGTGTTTGTCTCATAGATATATTACATTTATTTACATGTATTATAGAATGGTATAACTCATATGTTTGAATATGTGTTGATAACTTTGGATTCAAACTGAGTTAAATTCCTTTTCATCTATGTAGAAGTCCTGTTTCATCAGTGATTTGGTTTGTTTAATCACTTTAATGTCATAGGACAGTCTTGTTGATGGTGTTTGGCCAGCTTACTGTATATGTATTATATTTAGTGTCTACAATATCTGTGGGAAATTGATTTTTGAACAAGTTAGCGAAGATTTGATTCAGCACATTTCCTTATGTTTTTATTGATACCTATATGTGCAAGACATTTAGCATTCTACTTGAATTAGCGGAAGTTGCTTTCCGCAAAAGGGACTATAAAGAATACACAGCTAAATGTAATACCAATGGAGGGTTCTGTTATCTTACATCGTGTCTAAATGAAAAAAATATATATTTAGAACTTTAGTCTAAGCACAAAATAAAATATAACCTTGTGGTGTGTAATTGCAAAATTGATAAAGTTGTCAAAAGAAGCGAAAGTTAAACATTCTTTTCAAGTGGTAAAATAGCAATGGATGCAGAAGTAACTATATTATGTAGACATGTGGCAAAGTTTCTGATATATTCCTATTGATGAAGTATAAATGTCCGATACAAAATTTTGTGCATTTGATAGTGAAATATCCATAACGTGCACATATATCCCTCAAGACATATTTCTATTTAGTGGAGGATGGAGCCGAGTCAGTAGATGACGACAGCAGTGGAGAAAGTGAATCTGATACAGAAAGTGGAGAGGTGAGTGTTACAAGAACAGTAACCCTGATACAGAAAGTGGAGAGGTGAGTGTAACAAGAACAGTAACTCTGATACAGAAAATAGAGAGATGTGTGTAGTAATAACAGTAACTCTGATACAGAAAGTGGAGAGGTGAGTGTAACAAGAACAGTTTCTCTGATACAAAAAGTGGAGAGGTGATTATAACAAGGACAGTAAATCTGATACAGAAAGTGGAGAGGGGAGTGTAACAAGAACAGTAACTCTGATACAGAAAGTGGAGAGGTGAGTGTAACAGGAACAGTAACTCTGATACAGAAAGTGGAGAGGTGAGTGTAGCAAGAACAGTAACTCTGATACAGAAAGTGGAGAGGTGAGTGTAGCAAGAACAGAAACTCTGATACAGAAAGTGGAGAAGTGAGTGTAGCAAGAACAGTAACTCTGATACAGAAAGTGGAGTGGTGAGTGTAGCAAGAACAGTAACTCTGATACAGAAAGTGGAGAGGTGATTGTAACAAGAATAGTAACTCTGAATACAGAAAGTGGAGAGGTGAGTGTAGCAAGAACATTAACTCTGATACAGAAAGTGGAGAAGTGAGTGTTACAAGGTCAGTAACCCTGATAGAGGAAGTGGAGAGGTGAGTAATGTAGTGTAACAGGAATAGTAACTCTAATACAGAAAATAGAGAGATGTGTGTAACAAGAACAGCTACTCTGATACAGAAAATGGAGAGGTGACTGTAACAAGAACAGTAACTCTGATACAGAAAGTGGAGAGGTGAGTGTAACAGGAATAGTAACTCTGATACAGAAAGTGGAGAGGTGAGTGTAACAGGAACAGTAACTCTGATACAGAAAGTGGAGAGATGAGTATAACAAGAACAGCAACTCTGATACAAAAAGTGGAGAGGTGAATGTAACGAACAATAACTCTGATACAGAAAATGGAGAGGTGAGTGTACCAAGAACAGTAACTCTGATACAGAAAGTGGAGAGGTGAGTGTAACAAGAACAGCAACTCTGATACAAAAAGTGGAGAGGTGAGTGTAAACAAGAACAGTAACTCTGATACAGAAAGTGGAGAGGTGAGTGTAACAAGAACAGCAACTCTGATATAAAAAATTGGACAGGTAAGTGTAACAAGAACAGTAAAAATAAAATGAACTGAAACATGAAGCTTTGTCGCCCAAAAGCAAGAAAAATAGGGTGATCAGGATCAACAAAATAATAAATCTAGTATTCATTAACAGTTCATAAATTATGTTCTAATCTGTTCCCCATTTATCACTATCACCATACAGTATATTAACAAACTATCAGTGCTTCTGTACTATTTTAATTCCTTGTTGAGGTCTCTTACATTGGCCTCTCTTGGTCTTTGATGAACATTTAAAAAGACAAGTTATTTTTGTCTCATTTTTATTTATCTAATACTTACAAGTATACTAACCTTTTAAGTACATTATTTACAGTGATTAATTATCAAAAGTAAATGGCAAAGGGGTATAACTCCTCTCAGTAGAATACAAATTAATATATTCCAGGACCAGAACACTTGACCAAATGGTCCAGATTTTCAAAAATATGGTAAAAATACTCTTTCTTATAAAAACTTCTACTCTTTTTGCCCCTGATATGCCCAGGTGCAGAGAAGATTTTTAAAGAAATAATGCATTTTTATTACAGATTCACTATATTATCAATAGAGCCCCCATACCCCCCCTCCCCCCGGCGAGAAACACGAGAGCCTCTCACCCTGGGACCAGAAGTTTGCTCATCATAAGTAATCAATTTGTTTATCTGCTTAACACTAAGAGCAGACAGGATTATTTAATAGAATTAATGCATTTTCACTATATTATCAAGAGCCCAACCCTTACACCAGCACATCTGACCCAGGGTCATGCATTTACTACTCTGGAAGAAGCACTCTTGCTCATCATAACTATACACTTAGCTTCTTTGCGTTTTTAACCAGGAGCAGAAAAGAATATTTTCAAAGAAATTTTGCTTTTTCACTATATAATCAATAGAGCCCCCCCCTTTCACCAGAACCCTTGATCCTGGGGCCATGAAATTCACAATTTTGGAAGAGGCATCCTTGAGTATCATAACAATGTACTTAATTTGTTTAAATAATACCCAGGGGCAGAGAAGAAGATTATCAAAGAAATAATTCATCTTCACTATAGGATTATATAGCCCCACCCTAACACCAAATCCCCTGATCCTTGGGCCATGAATTTCACAATTTTGGAAGAGGCATCCTTGCTTATAATAAAAATGTACTTAGTTTGTTTAAATAATACCCAGGAGTAGAGGAGAAGATTTTCAAAGAAATAATGCACTTTCATTATATGATCTGTATAGCCCCGCCCTAGCACCAGAGTCCTTGATCCAGGGGCCATGAAATTCATAATTTTGGTAGAGTCACTCTTATTTATCATAACTATGTATTTAATTTGTTTAAAATAATACCCAGGAGTAGAGAAGAAGATTTTCAAAAAAATAATGCACTTTCACTATATCATCTATATAGCCCCGCCCTAGCACCAGAACCCCTGACCCTGGGGCTATGAATTTCACAATTTTGGTAGAGTCACTCTTGCTTATCATAACTATGTATTCAATTTGTTTAAATAATACCCAGGAATGGAGAAGAAGATTTTCAAAGAGATAATGCACTTTCACTATATGATCTATATAGCCCTGCCCTAGCACCAGAACCCTTGACCCTGGGGCTATGAATTTTACAATTTTGGTAGAGTCACTCTTGCTTATCATAACTATGTATTCAATTTGTTTAAATAATACCCAGGAGTGGAGAAGAAGATCTTCAAAGAAATAATGCACTTTCACTATATGATCTAAATAGCCCCACCCTAGCACCAGAACCCCTGACCCTGGGGCCAGGAATTTCACAATTTTGGTAGAGGGCTCAATGCTTATTACAATCATGCCAACAGTTTGACTGCTTGATGTCCAGGAGTAAAGAAGAAGAATTTTAAAGATTGCACTAATTTTGATGGTTTTAGCCCCACCCCTCAGGCTCCAGGGGGGCAGGGACCATGAAATTCACAATTTTTGTACCCCTTCACCCATTAATGCTATATGCCAAAATTGGTTAAAATTGGTTTAGTGGTTCACGAGAAGAAGCTGAATATGTTCAAAAGTTTACGACCGACGGACAACGCACGACGGACGACGACGGACGAAAACAGATAGCAATAGGTCACCTGAGTGACTCAGGTGACCTAAAAATGGAGAGGTGAGTGTAACAAGATCAGTGACTCTGATGCAGAAAGTGGAGAGATGAGTGTTACAAGATCAGTAACCCTGATACAGGAAGTGGAGAGGTGAGTGTAACAAGAACAGTAACTCTAATACAGAAAGTGGAGAGGTGAGTGTAACAAGAACAGAAACTCTGATACAGAAAGTGGAGGTGAGTGTAACAAGAACAGTAGCTCTTATACAGAAAGTGGAGAGGTGAGTGTAACAAGAACAGTAGCTCTAATACAGAAAGTGGAGAGGTGATTGTAACAAGAATAGTAACTCTGATACAAAAAGTGGAGAGGTGAGTGTAACAAGAACAGTAACTCTGATATAAAAAGTGGAGAGGTGAGTTTTACAAGAACAGTAATTCTGATACAGAAAATGGAGAGGTGAGTTGGGAGTTAACCAAAAGACAAAAGAGTATCTGTAATCAAAAGCAGTTGTAGATTATAAAAATGTTTTCTTTTATTATGCTGATTATATTTTACTTCAGGATGTTCACATTAAGGAGGAGGAAGAAGAAATTATAAGTGAGATTCCATGTAAAATAGTGTCCACTGAACCAAGTAAGGAGACTATTTTCCCCGAATCAGGGGGAGATTACCCTGTATCAGGGGGAGATAACTTTGTACCATTATCAGAAACCTTAAACTCTTCTTCAAAGGGAGGTAAATATGTATCTTCCTTAGAAAACAACTCAACACCTACAAACAAGACAATTAAACAACGAAATATTCAGACAAGTTGTCTGAATGTTTATAGAAAAACTTCTAGAAAGACAACTAATACAAAAACATGTAGTGAAAATCAGAAACAAGGACAAAATGAGAGTGAAACTTCTTCAGATGTGAATGAATCACAGAAAAGAAAAGGTGACAGAAATGAGGCAATGCTAGAAAAGAAACTTCGATTTAAACTACCACAAGGGGAGAATGAAACATTTTTAAATGTTTATGAATTACAAAGAGAAAGCATTAATAGAACTGAAGCACCTCCAGATACAGAAAAGAAGTTGCTATTCAAGGTTTTGAGAATATCTTCAGGGGTCAAAAAAGACTCCTCATCTTCAAAAGGATCCTCTACAGTTCATTTAAAGTACCCTAAATTATCCTTATCAGACAGCCTAACTTCCTCAGAATCTTCTTCATCGAGTAATCTGTCATCTTCAACATCATCTTCATCAGGCAATATTATCTCAACATCATCCACACACAGTTCCAAACCACCTTTTTCTGAAAAACCAGAGTCAACAAAATCAAAGTGCCCCAATTCATCTTCAAACAAAATGGAGTGCTCCAAACCATTTTCCTCAAATAAATTAAAGTCTTCAAAACCCTCCTTGCGAAGAAAAAGATCCAGATTTTTGAATACAGAGGGAGTTAAAGCCCTCAGGAGTCACCTTTCAGGTCGAGCATTATCACATAAAAATTTTTCAAAAGTAACTACTGGAACATATAGATTACAAGGCACAATTTTCAATTCTGTAGGAAAACAAGTGCCCCAACGTCTTACAACAAAGGCAGCAACTGACGCAAAAAAGTCAAATACAAATATTGTACAAAAGAATAATGCTGAACCAGAGACACAGAAGCCAGAGAATGAAATGGAATTGAAGTCAGATGTCAGTGGAAATAAGCCTCCAATTAGTCTAATGTTAGACATAAACCCAGATACTGGAATCCCGTGTTTGGTGAGATACCCCACAACAACACCAGTCATTGATAATGTGAATCTGGAAACATCTAACGTGAAATCGGAACAAACGGGGTCTCCAGGATCAGATTCAGTGAGTCCAAGTGTACAAGGAATGTCTTCATTAATAAATTTAAGACTTACTATAGACCCAGTTAGTGGAAAACCAATGTTAGTGAAGTGTCCAGATGAACCACCTACCAGGGATTGTGATACTAGGAAACAGACACGCACAAGGTCTGATCAAGAGGAATCGAGGCAGCTGCCAAATTTCAGTTTATTGACACCTAATGAGGTGTTAGATCCCAAATTAAAGCAGATCAAATTAATAAGTGAGCTACAAGATTTAAGTAAAAAGATACCGAATTTTCAAAAACTGAAGCCAAAGCCTATGGATCAAAAACCAAAGGCAAAATTAAAACAAAATAAATTGAAGAAATTGCAAGGTTTAAGTCCAAAGACATCAATTGTCAGAAAAACTAAACAAATGCCTATTGTTCCAAAGGCTAAGCAAACAACAAACCATAGACTGATAGGAGAACCGCAAATTTTAAATTCTAAGAGGCCAGTTGTTCAGCAATCATCTGTTACCCAAGAGTTTAAGCCGTCATTAAAACAACATGAAAATCATCATGAATTAATAAGACGGCCACAAGTATTGAGGTCAACTATGAAAGAACTTAAGCAATCACCAGTTGCCCAAGAGTCTAATCCCACATTTAAACTTAATGAAGTGATGGGGGATCCACAAATATCAAATACGCCAAGGCCCATTTCCCAGAAACCTAGGCAATCGCCTATTGTCAAAGAGTCTGAGCCAACATCTAAACAAAATGAATTAATAGGGGAACCACAGATATTAAGGAATCTTCTCGAGGAATCAAACCCAACATTAAACCTAACATTAATTATAAACCCGGCTAATGGTATGCCTGTGCTTGTACGATCACCAGACTTAATGACATCCAATCCAAATGACAAACACCTAAAACTGACTTTAGACCCCGTATCAGGAGAGACAATCTTAGTTCCTGAGTCTGAAGATGATCCAAGAGAAAGTGTTTCTTAGGACCTATTATTTCCCCCAATATGGGAATTAACACTAATTTTTTTGTTGTCTGAAAAAATGTGTACGGGCCATTTAGGACATAAATATCATTAATATGGCGTCATTAATTACAATTGCTGTGCTGGCATGATCCATGATGCTTGTTCACTAAAGCATAGAGGTAACTTTGCCAGAACAGTTGCTATTCATAATATATGTTTACTGGAGAAGATTTCCTCAATCCATATAAAACTATTGCCATACCATTATTCTAATTCTTTTAAATCCCTATTAGTATTTAAAGAACATTTAGACAATTATGTGACCATTGACTTGTATTATTTTGATCTTATTACATGGAGAGAGTTCTATACTTGCTTATGTTTTCATTCTAAGCTTCTCAAACATTTTACAATATTTCAACATTTGTTATTTTTTTGTCAATTGCCTTTATTGACAAAATGTTATTAAAATATTAGACGTTGAGCGTTGTCTCTTTCAACGAAGTTTGTGTTCATTGTAATTTGATTTTGACTTGGATACTTTCAGAAGAAATTACCACACCTGTTCAGTTTGCGCCTCTCAGGACAATGGAATGTTGCAACATGAAAGTAGGATGTAAATGCTTCTTTTCGATGGATGAAGGGAAGACATTGGTTAAATTGTTTGTATCGAAGGGAAAAATTTATCGCACCTGGTGACCTTTCAACCATTCAAAAGTTACGACCAAGGTTAACGTTTTCTAACAGTAGGTAAAATTTCAAGGTCAAAGAGAAAAGGTCAAAATTGTTCTTTTTTTTCTAAGGAAAGGCCTGGTCACAAGAAATACACATGCGAAATATCAAAGCCCTAGATTTCACCATTCCAAGTTTTTTAAAGTTTTTTCAAAAGTTGGTTAAACACAAGGTCAATATCAAAAGGTCAAAAATATTTGTATCCAAGGGAAGGTCTCATCACAAGAAATTAAAAACACGTGCCATGTATAAAATCCCTTGCACCAACCTAAAGTTGTGGCCAAGGTTAAAGTTTGTTTAAAAAATTGGTTAAACTCCGTGGTCAAGGTGAAATGTTTTGGTAACCAAAGAAAAAATCTTGTCACAAAGAATACACATGTAAAATATGAAAGCCTTAGCTCCTTAGCTCAGTTTTGAATATTTTTAATATTGCAAACAACCAAAATGAATTCGAATTACCATATTTATATTGGATTCCGAAACTTCATAAAATCCTTACAAACAAAGATACATAGCGGGTTCCAGTAAATGTTCAACCAAGCCTCTATCTTTACTCCTCACTAAGATATTAACAGTGGTGAAGGAGAAACTTCAAGAGTACTGTGCAACAATATATTCGAGAAATGGTGTAAATCAGATGTGGATACTTAAAAATTCCAAGGAACTTTTGGAAAATTTGAAATCACAAGATTTTACCAAAATCAACAGCTTAAAAACTTATGACTTTTCAACTTTATACACAACCATTCCCCACGATAAATTAAAGTCCAGGCTTTTTGATATCATTGACAGCTGCTTTTTCAATAAAAATGGAACTCGTAAATATACTTACCTTGTCATTGGTCATTTGCAAAATTATTTTGTTAAAAAACATTCTGATTGTACACACAAGTACTCTGAAGTTGACATTAAAAAGATGCTTGAGTTTCTGATTGACAATATCTATGTGGTTTTTGGAGACCAGGTCTTCCAACAATCTATTGGAATTCCTATGGGTACCAATTGCACCCCGTTATTAGCAGACCTTTTTTTTGTATTCATATGAAGCAGAATTTGTCCAAAATCTTGGTCGTGAAAAGAAGAAAACACTTGCTGTGGCGTTCAACTCGACATTTAGATATATCGACGATGTATTATCAATTAACAATGGCTATTTTCATTCTTATGTCGAAACGATATATCCTGGTGAACTTGAGATAAAAGATACCACAGAGTCTGACACATCTGTTTCATATTTGGATATTTTACTTGAAAAAGACGTTAATGGTAATCTAATAACCAAGCTTTATGATAAACGTGATGACTTTAACTTTTCCATCGTCAACTTCATTTAATTATGCAGCAATATACCTTCATCACCTATATACAGGGTTTATATATCTCCGTTGATTCGATACGTTTCTAAATCGAGGTAAGTTACTGACAAACAAGTTGATAAAACAAGAATATCAGCAGCTTCTTTTAAAGTCGTCATTTCGTAAGTTCTATGGTCGAAACAATGACCTTGTCAGCAAATACAATTTATCATTAAGTTAAATCCTAACTGACGTTATTCATACTTATTGTTAGACCATTATTCCCAGATAGCAAGCTTACGTTGGGCCAACGCAAGCCCAACGGTGAAAATTGCGTTGGCCCTCTGTCAGTTTTATGCGTTGGCCCAACATCATCTTGCTCATCGGTCCTACGTTCAACCAACATGTTGGCTCGACGTTGGGCCAACATTCGATGGTTGGTTATCTGGCATTGGCCCAACAATGGCTCAACGTTTAACTTCCTGTTGGCCCAATGTTGGTTCAATGTTTTTTTAAAGCTAAGAATGAATGTTGGACCAACGTTGGCCCTACGTTCTATAAACATGTTTGGCAAATGATCGGCGCTTGAATTATTTTATTTCAACAATATGAATTCCCGTAACCTTTTTATTTCCATAATTACAAGTAAAACACAATTGATTGAATAAATCCTGCATGGTTAATTATCTTGTTCCTCAAACAAATGTTCTATTTATTTTTTTTGTCACTCCTATGGAATGAAATCAACAGAGGGAAATAAAGGTAGTTCAATGTTTTCTTAAGTCTATCCCATATCACTTCAGTCACTATATAATATTCCTCTAGAATAAGAGTCCCAGTGTTCAAATTTGTGAAACTTTGGAATGTTCTCCTGCTCATATTACTTCTGAACCATTCACTCCTTTTTTCCTGTTCATGTTATTGTTTCTTTGTCTGTAAAATCCATGTCTCTCACACTGATAATTGAGATAAATCACTCACTGTCCATTACATTCCAAACATCAATGGTCTTGTAACACAAAGGGTTTTCTCCCCACCAGATGCTGTAAATGATATGAAAAATATATCAGTTTAATCCGTTCAAAAATGATGTCACTTACTACTTATAAGTTATAACTTAAAGAGATTACTAGTAAATATACATGCATATTTTGAAAATTGCAATTCTTGAATAACTTGTTCAATTTTACAAATTATGCTCAAGTTAAACTTTCACAGAGATAAAATTCTATCAATCACACCTAAAACGACTATATACTTACATTTCAAGGGCTAAAACAATCCATTTTCTCTGTCTTGCGATTCAAAACGGACACGCACATGTATATGCTTTGTTCAAGTGTTGCAAGTGATAAGATGTAACCACTCCGAGTTTACGAAACAGAGCTGATTAGGATGCCTGTTTCCTAGGAAACCGGCCAGTCACCTGCTGAGCCAGTGGATTTCACCACTGACCTAATTATTTGGAGCTCTAAAATTCAGCACTGTAAGTTCCATGATGTTAAATATAGAATCTACAAAATTATATACTGTGCAGAATAATTAAAACTTCTACATGTATTTGCAATGGTCTCGGACACAAATTACAAACATTAATCAGTATTAAAAATCTTATTTTTATAAATTAGGTTCTGGAGTATTTTTTCATTTTTTAGGTCACCTGAGTCACTCAGGTGACCTATTGCTATCTGTTTTTGTCCGTCGTCGTGCGTCGTGCGTCGTGCGTCGTCCGTCGTGCGTTAACTTTTGAACATTTTCAACTTCTTCTCTGAAACCGCTTAACCAATTTCAACCAATTTTGGCATATAGCATCTATGGGTGAAGGGGAACAAAAATTGTGAATTTCATGGTCCCTGCTCCCCTGGGGCCTGAGGGGTGGGGTCAAAACCCTAAAAATTTCTGCAATCTTCAAAAATCTTCTTCTTTACTCCTGGATATTGAGCAGTCAAACTGTTAGCATGATTATAATAAACATTGAGCTCTCTACCAAAATTGTGAAATTCATGACCCCTGGGGTCAGGGTTCAGGCTCTAGGGTGGGGCTAAGTTGGTTGTGTTTTGAAAATGCATAGTATGTTATGAGATGTTCTTCTTAACTACTGGACTTCAAGGAGGTAAAATATTTTTATGTTTATGTTGAGCAATGAGCCCTCTACCAAAACTGTGAAATCTATAGCCCCTGGGGTCGGGGTTGAGGTCCCAGGTTTCTTGCCATATACAGTGTATGTATGAATAGGCCTAATATTGAAAAGAACAATTTATTTTGAAATTACATTTAAGAAATATTTTTGTGATGTTTAATGTTTTTATTCAATGAATTTAAATTATTTACGCGAGAAGGAAAACACTTGTAATTTTAAAAAATAATAATTAAGAAAAAAATATCCGGAATATGTTTGCTTGCTGCAGAACTTCCCCGCATGCGCACAAAAGAGCGTCTGTCGGAAGAATATCGAAGAAGCTGAATACAATATTGAATTTACGTTTTTTTTTAGGTCTAAGATTTTGCATTACGAACGGTGGGTATGATTGTTGCTATTTTTAAGGTTACAAAGTATGAAATATATCGTGGTTTTGCGAATACATCGTATTCTTCTTGGTAATAATTAGATTCGATTTAGCTTTGTTCAAATTACGCAGAAATAGCTTGTAATGGAGGAGCTACAAAGGAAATGCTGGATTCAGCGTTGTTGTTTGCATTTAAGATGCAGTAATAAATCATCTACACTGTGTGTTAAAAATGCGTTTTTTGTTTTTTTATTGTATATGTCGAATTTTTGCTCTGAATTTGGAAACATGATGAAATTATCAGTTCGAATTTTCTTTAAAGTAATGGTGTACGTTAATTTGGTCCTCGCTATAAATAACGTCCTATATAGATTAGTATGGAAGGAAATAGCTTCATAATAATGTTAGGAAGAATGTGCTGTTTCAATGTATCACATGTTTAAGTATTTAATACAGGATGATAAGAAATATTTGGTTATGAATTGATCCAATTTTTTGTTTTTGTTTTGGGGGTTTCGCTCCCATTAACGATTCGCTCTTGAGACTGTTCGCCGGTCCCCACGAGATGTTTTGCATGATATATAATGTAAATGGTACATGTTTATATATATTTGTGGGCAAGCAATGGCAAAATATTTTTATGAACCCTCTGTTCTGTCATTTTGATGTCAGTTACTTGATCTTGTAATTGAACTGTTTTGTTTTACACATTGATGCAGTCTGATGCACTTTAAACAATATGTCATCACAATATGTTTGTAGATAACTGAGTCATAGCCAACTGGGCACCTATCAAACTCTCAGGTGTGTTGTAATTCAGACTTTCTTGAAGTCAGTGACGGTCAACTTTTTGTTCCCATTCAT